GACTTGTCTGTTGATTATTTTTAAACAAGGAGACAAGTCATCATTGTTAGGAGAGAAATCTTGACTAACGCCCACAAGTTGTGAGAAAGATGGACCCTGCTTTAGCAAGAGTGAGGGTTTGAGAACGCCTCTGTTACTCAAGTGGAAAAGTCGACACCTTTATAACCATAGGGATAGGAGAATGTTGCTCGACTATCAATGAGTCATGTCTCAACTCGAAAAAAGTTTTGAAGGGTAAAGGTGCTCGAGCGCACAAAGGTTTGAATGAGTTGAAGTGTTTTTGTTAATTTCGAAAGATGTCGAAGTATGATTAAGTGAATTGAAGTTTGTTTAAAGAAAAGAAGTTTTAAAAGAAAAGGCACTCGACAAAGTCAAAGTTTATTATGAAAGCGGTTTGAGTTTATAAATAAAAAATATGAGAAAGTTTTGAAAATTAAAGAATGGGAGAAAAGAATGTCCTATGTATAGGAGGGTAAAAGATAAAGTAAAGATGATCCGACCGAATAAGAAACTAGTACTTGACCTGATGAAGTCAATACTATATTCCCATCCCTTTGGGGTTTAAATCCACAGACATAAAAATAAGCTAAGAGTATACCAAACCCTAAAAAGAAACACACTATAAGTTTCAAAATAATAAGTTTTATATTCACACTGCAAAGAAAATTAAACAATTGGGGTATACTTACTCAAGATATGGTTTAACTTCAACGCAATTGATCAAGACATGGACATGTGCAGATTGCATTTCTTTTTGGGTCAACCAATACACACCCTTACTTCTAGAGGGACGACCTGGACGCCCGAAGACTGATAAGGTGAATTGACTTCTCTCATTGACATTTACATGATTTTGTATGATTCTAGGAGTTAACATTAAGTGATTGAAATAATGACTGCAAAAATGTGATGTTTCCTGATGCAAGTAATATGCATATATAGATCCTTCAACTCTAGCTTATTTTTCACTGATCGCTTTTAATCACCCCTGAACCTTTCAAACGGATACATCCACCCATATTGAACAGGTCCACCAAGATAAGCTTCATATGCAAGATGTACAGGTAGAAGTTCCATGGAGTCAAAAAAATCAAGCGGAAATACTTGTTCCAACTTACAGAGAATGAGTGGAATGTTTCAGTCCAACTTAATGATGTCATCCACTCTTAAAGTGGACGCACAAATATCTCTAAAAAATTGAATAATTTCAGTTAGTGGATTAATCACATGTTTGGGTAGTGAACCAAATGCAATTGGTAGAAATTGTTCCATAAAAACGTGGCAATCATGACTTTTCATACCATGCAACTTCCTAGTGTTAGCGTCGAAACACCTTGCTAAATTTGAAGAATACACATCCGGAACTCTCAAATCTTTTAACCATCGACAAACCGCTTTAGCTTCTTGGGAAGTCGGACTAAAACAAGCCTTGGATTTTAATCATTTTCCATTCGGTTGAGGCTTCAACTCCAACTCTTTTCGATTACACCAAATTTTCATGTCCTGTCTAGCCTTCTCGTTATCTTTTGTTTTGTCTTTAACATCAATCATTGTGTTAAATATATTATCAAAAAAATTCTTCTCAATATGCATAACATCAAGATTATGGAGCAACAAATTATCTTTCCAATACGGGAGGTCCCAAAATATACTTCTTTTTGTCCAATTGTGTGTGACTCTATATCCTTCAATTCTACATGCTTTGCCAGTATCTGTAAATTTTGGTAGTTCACAAACTTGGTTTCATATATCACCTAGTGACAATCGAGGCGGAGGCAGATCTGATACTCGTTCTTCTTTTTTAAAATTTGTCTTGTTTCTTTTATAGGGATGATTTGTTGGTAGGAATCTGCAGTGGCAGTCAAACCACGAGCTTCCCCCCCCCCCCCCCCCCCCCTTTATCCAATGTAAATTCTTTGGTGTATACCATGCAATGCGGATAACCCATTTTGTCATGCGTACCCTAACCAGACAACATGCCATATGCTGGAAAGTCATTAATGGTCCACATCAAGGCAGCTCACAAAGTAAAGTTTTATTTATGGGATATATCATAAGTTCATTCTCCAATCCACAACCTCTTCAAATCATCAATTAAAGGTTGTAAGTACACATCAATTTCGGCTTTTGGACTTGACGGCCCTGGAATGACGCACGTCAAAAACATGTATGGTTTAGTCATGCACATCTCAGGAGGGAGGTTATGAGGAGTTACAATAACTGACCAACAAGAATACACACTTCCTAACACTTGCACATATGGGGCAAAACCATCAGAGCATAATCCAAGCCTGACATTTCTAGGTTCTGCGACAAAATCAGGATGTGTCCGATCAAAGTGCTTTCATGCCTCGCCATCAGATGGATGTCGCATAGTGTCTGAACTTGTTTGGTTTGTATGATGCCATGTCATTTGACTTGAACTATGCATTGAAGCAAACATTCTTTTTAACCTTGGTATTATTGGAAGATAAAACATGGACTTTACCACTACACGCTTTTACTTGTTGTTAATGGCTCTACTGCAAACTTGATATCTTGGAATCTTACAAAACTTGTGTTCCTCCAACAATCCATCTTGAGTACCAAACTCGTTATCATAAAACAACATGCAACCACTAAACAATCAATCTTTCTTACTTTTAAACCCAACTTCGACATCCACTTCTTTGCATCATAAAAACTTGTAGGCAAGTTGTCTTTTGTTGCGGTGGAATCCAACGTCATTTTTGCGAAATGTTCCAAACACTGATCAGGAACATTCCAATTTGACTTGGAGGCCAATAATCTCACACACATTGATAACTTTGAGTTTGATGACCCCTCAAATAACTGTGTATTCATCTCATTCAACAACTGATAAAATCTCTGCGCTTCCTCATTCGACAACTCTTCCCCGTCAAAATATTCAAGTTGATCATATGTCACGTTCACACCAAAAACATCCTCAACCATCTCACCGATCAAATTAAAATTTTTCTCATATTCCATAGGCGGTCGACTACTTAAAACATGTGTTGCTAGTCTCTGATTCGTTAATAGTTAAATATTCCATAGACGATGTGATATTCACGTCTCAAATTAAAGTTTTGTTATATTATATAACCATTTTTTATTAAATATATAAAACTGTTTTTATTTTAAAAATATATTATTAAAAATATTTACCATATTTAACATTCTTTTCTATATTCTGTTTTAAAAAAAAAAAAACTTTATAAAGTTACTTTTCTATATTCTTTATTATGTTTAATATATTGTCAAAATTAAATCTTTATTTTATATATATATATATATATATATATATATATATATATAATATTTTAATTAAAAATATAGTATATTTTTATTTTAAATAAAAATATTAAAAAAAATTTCTTGTTAGACTATATATACATATACATAATTATATATCAAATTAAAAAAAAATCAAACAACAACTAACAATTTAATTAATATATACGTATATAACAAATTCAAAATATAATTAAATAACATAAATACATATTCTTCAATCTTCTTCAACTTCTTGTACAATCTTTTTGTTGAATCTTCCTTCTAATCTCTTCAATCTCTTGATAAAAAAACATAAATCTATATGACATAAAACAATATTAACCTAAAACGAAAATATTAAAAATAAATTGAATAAATATTATACATTTGTTAGAAAAGAAATTTGGAATTGATGATGGAATTTGAAATTGATTATTTGGAATTGATTATGGAATAATGGAAGAATACAAAAGAGAGAAAGAAGAAAAGAGGGATGATGAAAAACACAAATGGTTTCCGGAAAGAGAGGGCGTATGTTTATTAGCCAATCAGCGACGTGAAAATTTCACGTCGCAACCTTGCCACGTGATATACACGTCGCAACTCCCAACATTATAATTTAAATATTAACCAATTAACGACGTGAATATCACATCGCAACCTTGCCACGTGATATTCACGTCGCAACTCCTTCAACGGTTATATTTTTATTCAGTCAATCTGCACGTTTCAGAATGACATCTTGTCAAAGACAGAGGTTTCCCTCTAAAATATTTGTGACGTGTTTAACACGTCACAATAATTTTTTTTGAAATATTCAAACTTCCCTCTTCAAAACGCCTGAAGCTTAACATTTTTTTATTCTACTTTTTATATTGTGACGTGTTTCCCACGTCGCAATTTTTTTATATAAAAAAAAACTACTAATTGACGCAGACCATACCTTATTTTTATTATTTAAATTATAAAATAATTTAATGACGTGATTATCACGTCGCAACTACTAAATTTTAGTGACATGATAATCACGTCACTAAAATACGTCGCTAGGGAGTATATTTCTTGTAGTGAAAATTGGTAAAAGAAAAATAAAAAAAATTGATTAATGTAGTGATAAAGTTGATTAATAAACATCTAAATATTAAAGATAATTTTTAGTAGTAAAATAAAAGTTATTCGTGAAATATATTAGTTAATAAAGTGATGAAGTTGGTTAATAAACGCCTAAAAATAAAAAAAATATTTTTTGCAATAAAACTAAGTTAGTTAATAAAATGTAAAATATTAATTAATGAAGTTATGAAATTGGTTAATCTTATAATTTTATATTAGTATTTTAATCTAAAAAGTTAAAAAAAAAATTTAAAAAAATATATTATTTTATTATTATAATATTTAAGTATTCATCGTATTGATCAATAGTGAAATACTGATATAGTATAAAATTTTGATATAGAAATATCATTTCTCATAAAAGAAATTACAAATATACTTATCCATAAACCACACATTTCTTACATTTTTATTATTTAACTTATTCCAGAAAAGTATAGAAGTTCACATCAATATCTCACACGTTACAACAAAGCTTGCATACCATATTTCACAAGTAGTCTAAACTCATTTTTCATCATATTCGTGACATAGGGTTTTAATGTTACACAACATTTCCTAACCTTATTAAAATAGTATACAGTCTTAATAATTAATTTCCAACTCACTTCCTAGAGCTGAAAAATCCCATCTTGTAGAAATAATGGGTACGAAATATCAGTAGCAATTGGAACAAAGTTTGAGGCAGAAGTATTCTCCAACACCTGTAAAATATAATTATATGAATTATAATACTTTTTCTAACAAAGGTTTAGCTACATTCTGCTCTCTAAACAAAATGTGTACGTAACAAATAAGAAATAGAAATGAATATATTACCAAATCGTGGAGATATGTATTTGCTGCCTTAAGTGTTCCCTCCTTAAATAAATATAGTGTAAGATATTGACTCAGTAATTAACATAAATTATAGAAGAAGAAGAAGAAGATTACAGTAGTAGAGACATCTAATATCAAAGACATCTTAATATTTTTACCAATTTTAATAAAATATTATTTTCATTTTTTATTTTCATTTTTTATAATATATTTATAACAATACAAAAGAAAAACAAAATTCTCTTTTAGTGTAACCTAATTTATTTCTTATTTTACCCTTTATTAATTATAACGATTAAAAAAACTAACAGATTGTCATAAGAGGTAAGTTATCTTATTTTTAAGTAAAAAAGTAAGTGTATTCTCATACAAATAATTTAAATTTAAATTAATTTAAAAAGTGAATAGTTGTATAAGGAAATATCATTTCGTGTTTGACTTGATGCTATGTAAATATATTAAATATCTCGAATGCAGTAAATATTAAAAAATATGAATAAAATTATGCAAAAATATAAAATAATAAGTATATTTAAAATTACAAAAATATAAAATAATAAATATCTTAAAAATTTAGTCTATGACATTTTCAATAAAGAAATTAGATGAACTATTATTCTAATAAGATAAATTAAAGTAATTTATCATAATTAAGATACTCTTTTTATAGAAATTTTAAAGTTGATTTCTTAGAGCTATTTTTTTAATGGAAATAATATATAAAAAATGGGTATTATCAAATACTTTTTATAAATTCTCTGTAAATGATGTTCATCTATAAAATATTACCATAACAACAGAAGCTAACCAAAGAAGGAAAAAAATGCTAACCTTATCTCTCAAAGCTTGAATTTCTTGTGACATAATGTTCATCTGTAGTTCAATATGTGGCACAGTTATTCATTTTTATAGGTAATTCATAAATATAGGAAATTATTTTTGACAAAATAAATATACCATGATAATAAAATAATTTATTGGTACCTTCATTGAGCGAACATGATACATCCAGATTTCAAGATTCTTCTCAAGAACTTGAAGTTCATCCATTGCCAATCTCCCTAATCCTCCTCCAAACAAATAACTGCCAATATTTTCATTATCCATAGGATTATTCATAATTATAAAAAAATTTACTTTATCTATCTCACACAAGTATAGAACCAGTATACTACTCAAATGTATATATATTTTTTTTTTTGGTTCAGCTAGACCATTTTATTGAGGTGTGTAAGCAACGGTTTTATTTTATGCATTTAAATACTTTGTTTCATACAAAATTTATTAAATTGTTCTGGAACAAACTCGAACACGTTATAACTAATGGTGCATGATAACAATCAAACCATCTAAAATACACAAAAAAAAACATTTTAAATTCTTTAGCCATGATAAATTACTTTGTATTCAACTATAATGCAATAGCCTAGAAGATCAGACATGTTTATGGACCAGTATACTACTTTTGCCATAGTCAAATATCTCTAAAAACTAAGATACGCACCTGATACCCTTTTGCAATGTGTCGATTTCTTGTTTAAGCACATTGGTTTCCTCTTTAGCATCCTAGATATCAGCAATTTAGCAGCATAAATAATGTGTACAAGAAAAGTACTTTTAAATTTAAATGTCACAAATAAAAAGAAATAACAATAGTATTGTTACTTGAGTTCTCAAATCACACTCACATTTTTAAATATTTGACAAACACTTACTTGTGAAAAACAACATTATTGTTTTAAAAATTAATCCGACATACTTTAGCGTATCAGAATCAAGTCCTACATGTGTCAAAACAAAACTAAAAGAGAACAAAAGTACCTTGATTTGTATTTATTATTTATATATTTTTTCATCAACACTATCATTATATTATATAATTTTATTATTCAGGTGATATTAATGACCAATTAGAGCATCTAATACCACTTATCACTACTCTTTTACACATTATAAAATAACTAGCATGTATAATTTTTTTCTACAACATTTTCATTTTAATAGCACATTTATAATATAACTAGCTAGAGAAACATACCATTAGCAAAGGATGTGGTTCAGTGACAGCTTCAGATTGAGTCCCATGTGTGAACTTCAAGTACCTCTCTATTACTCCTTGCATGGTTCTTAAATTCATATATTGAAACACAAACAATGAAAATGAAACTTTAGTGAGCAAAATATTCATGTTTTGATCTTAGTTAGAATCTCATGCAACATGCACATATTACAGAGGATTAGATTAATCCTCTGTACTGATTATGTTGCATGCATTTTATCTTTTATAATATTGCAGAGAATTCAAACGTTCTTGTTTGAATTTTATGCACTACAAACGCCGTAGAGGATCATGTTTTGATCCTCTGCATGGTTAGAGAATTTAGATGTATTTGCTTGGATTCAATGCACAAGGCACAATATTATTGATATAGAGAAAGAGAGAAATACCCTTTTGTGGCGAGTTCATAGAGCTTTCCATGAGCGGAGAAAATGACAAGGCCAATTTCAGCGTCGCAAAGCACAGAGAGTTCCTTAGCCTTCTTTAGAAGCCCCGCTCGGCGCTTACAAAAGGTTACTTGTCTATGCACTTGGTTCTCAATTCGCTTCAGCTGAACCTTTCCGCGAGCCATTTCGATTTTTTGATGAATTTGAATTGAATTAATCAACAAGTATTTGGATTTTTTGGTGCAAATCTATGCACACAACCTCCCACTAGTTTGAACTAGCTTCGAGGTTGATGCAGCAAACAGGTTAGTACTCTCTCTTAGAGTTTCTTACTAATTTTCTCTCATTTTCTAAAGATTGAAAGCCTTATATAACCATCATCAAATTTTCAATCCCACAAAGGAATCTTCACTAGGTAAAGTTAATTAATAATATAGTAGCAACACTAACAATGAGTAATTAACTATAATTAACAACTGTTAGCAGCCAACTTTACACCTCATTAAGTAGTGATTAGTCTGTATATATTAATTAATGATCACTTAGTTAGTGTATGGGTTCTAATGAATTTGATAATGCGTCAAATCAAAGCATGTGATACTAAAGATTGTCTGGTCATTTCATCTTTTAGAATATGGTTCATTTTAGTAAAATATTTATGTGCAGAGGCTTTATTCTGGTTTTATTGGTGGAACCTGTGCATGTTCTATATAGTGCATGAAAGGTGCAAGTTAAATAATAATATATATGATATACTAATGTCTAATACTACTCTGTTATGCACTTGAAAGGGACCTCTTTTACCATGTTTAATTAGTATAGATATATTGTTTAAGAGTGCAGGGATGTGACCAAAATTTAAATAGAAATTTGCATGAAACAAAAAGGAAAAGAATAGAAGATTTTGAAATTAAGAAAATATGGAGAAATAAAGATCTAAAATGGATAATCAAAGCATCACAAGGGGGGAATGTTAATTATCTGAAATGTAAATTTATTCTCATTGAGATAGTACCTTTCAAGGATAGGGATATTTTGTAAGGAGGAGGATAAGGTGTATTATATCTAAAATATGTTTTTTGATATTGTAAAAATCATAATGAAACTGAAATAGGAGGTAGCGTGGCAGTGCATATTGATGCTGACAAAGGAGTTGGCGTGGTGGTGCAGAGCAAGGGTGAGGCTAGAGCTAGCGCGACAGTGTAAAGTGAGGCCAACCGTGCGTCCAAGTTCTATGTGTAAGGGTTTGGGTTCGGTTTTGCCTTTTTGTATGTATTGAATTTCGTTTTTTTTTGTTCGCGGATCCATTTGTAAATAGATTATGTTTTGGGTTTGTCATGATTCTATTGAGTTTGAACATTTATAAATATGTATTTCTTGACCTTCAGAACTTTAGAGCTGAAGATAAACAAAAAGATTTATGAGTCTTAGTGGTAATCTTAGAGAGACAATAGTAAATTTCAAAAAATTTGTTATTGGAATTGGGAAACCCTTGGATAGTTGAAAGTATTGGAAAACACTAGGGTAAAAAATAGGTTTGTTTTCTGAAATGTAAATTTATTCTCATTGAAATATAGTTTTAAGGAGATGGATATTGTTCACAGTGATTTCTGGTGAACAACCGCTAGTCTTCTAAACTATCGAATAAACTTAATGACTGTTATTCAATTTCTCTGGTAACTTGCAGGATCGACTAGATTGATCCTATGGAACATAGTTGTTTGGTTAAGTCTAATTGTAAAACTGGTATTCATATTCAGGACTTCAAATTAGAATTGTTTCTAAGATATCCAATCCACTTCGATTACTATACTGAATGGTTCGAAGGATAACTTCTATATGGTATTAGGAATGTTCATGAAAAAAGTTTAAAGACTTAAAATTGGGTAAATGGCAGGATTAAATGAGTGGATGCAAAAGTTACTAAATGTTTAGAGGGTTCGAACATAAGAAAAGTATTTAAATGTAGAAAGGAATAAATGACTTCGAATGTAAAGGCTTTAATGTAAAGGCAAGAAACGTAAAATGTTTGAAGCACAAATGAAACGGAAATGAAAGACAAAACTGGAAAATGTAAAGAGTTTTCATTGAATTGTAAATGTTGGTGTTATCATACGTACATCTTTCGAGCATTTGTTTCCCTATCCATGCGGTATTTTGAATGTTTATTGGATTTGTACAACAGATATGACACACGAAATCCTAATACTAAGACCTCTATTTATACTACTTCGACCATAACGGTCTTGCTATCAGAATCTGCCACGTTTGAAGCATGCGGAGCATTACTTCCCTCTGGCCTCCACGCGTCCTCGAACGTCCCAATGCTTATGTATTTTGAATTTCCAATATACCGCTCACGTTTGAATTTCAAACGCCTTGGTACCTTCCTTTCGAATTTGTTTCGAAAACAAACCTTCACAAATATAGTCTCGTCAATATTTCGAACAAGGCTTTAGACTTACACTCCACAACTACCATTTGAAACCTTGAACTTTAATATTTCCATTCGAAACAAACATTCTCTTCCATTCTAAATCATCACACTTGCTTTATTCAAACAAAGCCCAATCATTTTATTTCGAATCATAATATCAAAATCTTCAACCAACAAAATGCCCCTTTAAAATATGTATTTCGAAACCTTTGAGAAATACTTAGTTTAAATAGATTCACAAGATTTTGATATGTCTTTTGAAGAATCATGATATTTACTGTGCATGACTTTACCCACGTCAATCAAGACGCATTTTTGAGCACCTAACCGTCTTGGACCAGTTACCACAGCATGGTGCGGTTTTAAAATAATGATTACTATTAATCACACTTATTACTAACACTAGATCTTACGCCACCTCCCTCTGAATCCAATCAACGACTTCCACGTACTCCTAGTCCCTTTAGTGGGTGTTTACACTCACTCTATAAAACTTATCAGTTTAGTCTTTTCTTCTTTTTCTCCAAAATTCTGAAATCCCCCTCCTTTTCACTAAACCCTAAAACTTCCAGCAATCTTAACAATGTCTTCATCAACATCATCACAATTGAAGAAATTATCAAAGAAGAAGAACAAGAAAATCAACACGGAAACCATCATGGAGAGCAAAGTGAGTATTTATCAGAATCAATCTGTACTCAATCCTCAAGTGATCTCCAAAGAGAAAGAAATGTTGTACGCTTCTCAGGTATTAATCCCTACCACTGTTGCTGGAAAAAGGTTTGCCCTAATGGGTCCTTTAACTGTTTTTGAAATTCTGAAAGATACTAGGAAATTTTTTCCTGTTTGCTATAAATTCAAACCCCTATTCAACAAGATGGATGCCCCTAAGGCAGGAACTGAAGACCTCAGCGAATCATCTGATTCGAAAACCACTGAAACTCCAACCTTACCTCCAAAAGATCCTTTTATTTTAGATTACATTAAAAGTAATTTCAAACCATTTCGATCCTGCCCCACTTCAGATGCAGCATATCAAAACTGGTTCACTAAGGTGGAATCCAAAAAATCTCAACAATGGGAAGAATTAGGAATTTATAACTTAATCAAACTGTCGAAACCAGGCTTCACCTACAGTCACCCATTGCTATTTGCTTCATTGTACTTCTGGGACAACACTTATAACACTTTCCATCTTTCGGGCGGAATGATAACACCCACCTTTTTTGATATAGCTGCCATCACTGGTCTTTCACCAGTGGGGGAAACTTATATCCCTGACAACGAAGAACATTCCAACATTATTGACTTCGATGTCAAACTAGCCAGCTTTTCAAAATTCATCAGCCATTATCATACTGAAGGGGATGATGTCTCAGATGTAGAACATATCGCTTTCCTCACCTTGTGGCTATCACGATATGTGTTTTGCAGCAGATCCCTGCAAGTGGCGAGTAGGTTCATTCCCCTAGCCAGGGATTTCCATGAAAATAGGAAAGTCTGCCTGAGTAAACTGTTACTTGTCGATCTTTATGAGAGTTTAAGGTCAACAATTTCTAGTTTAAAATCCCATGCTCCAAAGAACATTCTTCTGGATGGACCCTTTTGGTTGCTTCAATTATGGCTTAATGCCATGTTCGAATCTTCTTTATCAACCGCTGATACCATCATCGAACAAGATCCAGAAATAGCTGACAGGAGCATCAAAGGCACGAGGCTTCGAAAACTCACTCCAAATGATGACAAGGATGATTTCAAAGTCCAATTTTCTAAATACATCATGATCTTCTCCAAAAGACACAAGTTTGAAGAGTCCATGGCACCTTTTGCTCAAAGTACTTGTGGACCATCATGGTTCACAATGCTTCTCTCAGAAGCCGTCAAGAGCAAAGAGATGCAGGACATTTGGAAAGCGTTTCTTCTTCCTAGGCTAATTTCCTCAAGAATTACTCCAACAAAGAATCAGATTTTCCTTCTGGCTTATCAACCCAATTTCGTTTCTCGACAATTTGGCCTGTGCCAATTAATTCCTGAACCTTTGTTCCAAACACAAAGTGCCATAACCTCAGGCAAAACGTTCAAAGCAAGAGAGGCCAAATTGCAACAGGAGCAATATCAAGACTTTGCTCAGTTTGAGCTTTTACCTTTCGAGCCAACACACTTTACAGCAAAAGGATTTCATGAATGGCAGGAAGGTCATAGCGAAGATGTCCTGGGAAATTATGAAGCCAGTAGCGAGCCCATGTCACAGTCTCAGATGGCTTTAATTTCTTTTGAGACTGGTATTTGAACATTTCTTTGCAAGTGAACCACCAAGGGTATGGAGGAAACCAAGTCACAGCCAGTTCTGAGGTAGGCAACCTAGGAAATTTAGGTGGGTGCATTTCGTGTGCCTCCGAAGTTCCAGTCAGGACTGCCATGTTGGAAGATCCTTTGTTTTGCACATAGTTGATGGAGTCCCCATGAATAGAGGAAGTGATTGGAGCATGAATCCCGGTTGGAGGAGTTGAAGCAGTGGGATTTGCATTCGAAGTATCCTGCATAAACAAAGAAAATTTAAGAGTATGCACTAAGGTATGAATAACTATCTTTGTTATGAATTAGAATTTAATTACCTGTGGATTATCAGAAGAAATGTTGCTGTCAATATGTTCCAATATTACATTGGAGGTCGAAGGTGGAATTTTGGATGTTGTTGAGGGAGCAACGTCTTTGGGATCAAGCCCAAAAACGTTAGTAGGCTCATGG